AAAAATTTCTTCCGTTTCGGTTTGTAAAATTGCTCTATGACGGAGGCATCATTTTCGACTGCGCGCAGTCGAATTCCATCTAGTTTTTACTATTCTATCACTTTCTCTTTCTATCTTTCCTCATGTTATTCTTTGTTTCTTCCTTCTATCACCTTCTCTTATGTTATTCTTTGTTTGTATCATTCTATCACTTTCTCTTTCTATCTTTCCTCATGTTATTCTTTATGTTATTCTTCATTTTACCATTCTATCACTTTCTCTTTCCGTTTTTCCTTATGGTATTCTTTGTTTCTTCCTTCTATCACCTTCTCTTATGTTATTCTTTGTACCATTCTATCACTTCCTCTTTCTATCTTTCCTTATGTTAATCTTTGTTTCTTTCTTCTATCACCTTCTCTTATTCTTTGTGTTACCATTCTATCACTTTAACTTTCTGTCTTTCCTCATGTTATTCTTTGTTTTATCATTATATCAATTCCTCTTTCTATCTTTCCATATGTTATTCTTTGTTTCTACCTTGTACCACCTCCTCCAATGTAATTCTTTATCATATCACTTTCTCTTTCTGTCTCTCCTCATGTTATCCTTTGTTTATTCTTCTATCACCTTTTCTCATGTTTTTTTGTTTTATCATTTTAACTTTCTTTTTCTGTCATCCTCATGCTATTCTTCGTATCAGATTTTCGCGCACTGTGAATTTATTACCTGTTTAATCACCTGATCTAAAAAAATTGGTCACGTGATAGCACCGACGTGAAAAATCGAAAGCACTGACGCGAAGGGAACGGACGTGAGCTGCGCAACATCTCCACGCTCCAGTACCTCGTAGTAGCCGACGTCGGGTGCCCAAATCAAAAGCTCACTATTAGTGCCCTTTTGTGAGGCATTAATCCTCATTACTGTCTGTTATGACTTAAGGACGTAGGTCCCCTAGTTGATTAGCATAGTAGCACACACATGCTTTAGCAGGCACGTAAAACAAACACTCACAAATTAATATTCAATAGAATCTGAGAATGTATACTATTATTTAGATCTATTAGAAATAAATCATTGTGAAATTCAGTCCATAAATTGGGGTAAAAATAGTTATTCCACCATTATGACCAACAGTGTATGTTGGAACACATAGGAAAGTACTAGTGATAACAACTTTCAAAAATTCATAAATTAATTGAAACTTTCATCAGTTTGCTTCTCTGATTTTCTGCTTTCTTTTAGATAAGTTGTCTATTTGGTGTGTGTGTGTGTGTGTGTCTATTGGGGTTTTACAGACGTGTATCAATCAGATATGGTTATTTACGACCGACCTTTAATGTCACTATCCAAAAGACGCGAGTCAGTTTCAAACCTGCTTCCTCGGCTGAATCAGTTTGTAACTTCAATTGTTAGCTGGATTACAGGGGCACGCCACAATGCCTTGGTGGGATTTCCCTTCAAATATTACATTCATTGGGTGTGCAATGAATTGTTGTGCCTCTGTTACAAAGTAGCCGGAGGCATTATGTTTTTGGGTTGTCTGTCCGTCCATCCATACGTCCCGTTCTCGTGATCGCGTTATCTCAAGAACCGATGGATGGATTCCTGCCAAACTCTAGTCATGTATGTATCTTGCAGAGCCAATGATTTGATTAGATTTTGAGGTCAAAGGTCAAAGATCACAGGGCTCATTATGTATGCAAAAGTAGCTTATGATCACAATATCATTAGAACCGATGAACAGACTACCATCAAACTCAAAACCTGTATTTATCTTGCAGAGCCAATGGACTGAGTAGATTTTGGGGTCATGAGGTCTAAGGTCATGGGGCTCATTATGTATGCAAAACTAGCTTGTGAACGCCTTCTTATTAGAACTGACGAATCAATGGATTACTATCAAACTCGGGACATGTATGTTTCTTGCAGAGCCATTGAACCTATTAGATTTTAGGGTCATAAGATTTTAGGGTCATAAGATCAAAGGGTCATACATGTATATATAAAAAAAAATTGTAATAACGATATTCTGTGAACGTGTTAATGCACGGGTGGCCAACCCGCGGCCCGTGGAGCCCTTTTGGTGCTGTCCACGGATCATTAACATAGTAATAATAAAATGGCACATAACTGAAATGTAGCCCGCATAGCAGCGATAAGATAGGGCAAAACATATACATGTACTCACAGCTATCTCTATTTCCATAATTTGTTTTCATCATTCACAACATATTGATTCGTTTTTTGGTTGATACAAAACTCCTCAAATTTTCTCTCATTACATTACAATAACAACATTACTCGCCGTGTTAATCTCAGTTTGTAAATATACATGTTGTGAATCAAGAGATGCCATAATTGTCTTGAATCAATTACAACCCTTTTCTTTTGCCGTTGAATTTTCTCATGAATCTTAATCGTAAACTCGATAGTCTTCACTTTACACCGCGTCAATTGAGATGTACAGTGTACAACTAATAAAGTAAGGATATTCTCTCTGCTGTGTCCTTGATTTTGTTTGAAAGAACAACTATCATGGCACCGACAAGGAAGGTTCTGATGAAGGCAGAAACTTTAAATCAGATTGGTCTCTGAAGTACTGCTTCATAGAAGAGAAAGTTAAACCACCTTGCCTCGTTTGTCACTAAAGCAGGTAATGAACGTTAACAACATTGCAGAAAAGTGCAAGCCTGATTTTGTTGTTTGCTTGTTTATTTTTTCAAAATTGCAGGTGTGTACACGTATTGCGTGTAGTTGTGTGTGTGGGGGGGGGAGGACTACCTATGGCTCGCCAAGTTATGCCTATCGTTAGCTGTGGCCCGCGAGCTTTAAAAGGTTGGCCACCCGTGTGTTAATGGATTAATTACATTCAAACTTTCAAGTTCAAGTTTTATTTCCACATGTGGTTCATAAAAAACAAGTATACATGACCTACATGTTTAGACATATAAAAAATACACAATTAACAAACAATAATATTAAGAGAAACAAATAGCGAACAAAATCTAAAGTCCATAAACAAAGAACAACTAATTACATGTAGATATAAAAAACATGTGGGGGGACAAACAAAGGCCAGGGGCCTGTCGAAGCTAATCCCCAGAACAATATTAGTAATTTTGGATATTTTATATATAAAAACAAACAAAAAACAAAAACAAACAAAAAAAGCCCACAAACAATAGCGACGTACAGTACATGATAAAACAAAATTAAGTTGGCAAATTAACAGGCAAACAAAAAAATTATATTGTACCACTATAAATTTGTGAATTATTTTTATGTAAAATATACAGTTTAAAATTAGAAAGTGTCGGACTATTCTTAATCTCTACTGGTATTGAATTCCAGGATTTTACACCAGTGTAAGAAATTGTTGTTTGAGAGAAACTATATTTATATAACAGCAATCTTAAGTGATTTGAATTTCTGGTACTATGGCTATGAATTGTACAATTTGAAGTGAAATAATTATTAAAACTATCTTGTAAAATGTTCTTAAAATAGGAGCACATAAAAATTTCAATTTGCAAACTACACATTTGATCCACCTTTAAAATACTAAACTGTTGAAATAAAGGGGTTGTGTGGGCAAGAGGTTGTGAATTGCAAATAACTCGTATTGCACGCTTCTGGAGTACTCCAATTCTATTTCTAAGATACATTGCACTGTTCCCCCTTACAATATTGCAATATGATAAATAAGGTAAAATCATTGTGTAATACGGGGTTAAAAGCATCCTCATTGGAACAACAGTTTTTAATCTATTCATTTCCCCTACGGCTTGAGAAATTTTTGAACAAATGTCATCAATACGTAATTTATATGTTATTTTATCATCAATTGTAACTCCTAAAATGTTTGTTTGTTTAACTTGTTGTATTAAGCAATCTCCAATAAATATTTGTATTAAGTCTTCATTAATGAACTTATTCTTAGGGCTACCAGCGTTTGCCGCATATTGTTTAAAGTTTTGCTAACTTCATTTTTTTAAAGTGTGGTATTTGATGTAAAATGTTATTTAAGTTAGTGCTAGAATTTCTAGCACCCTTTATGACCACAAATTGAGAGTATTGTCTTTACCTTAGCTGTTGGTGAGGTGTCGTGATCCTTACCTTTTCACCATATTCTGAATCTTCTCCCCCTCTCCCCTCCTCCCCCTCCCCCTGCCTCCCCTCCCCCTTTTCCATCTCTCTCTTTCTCACTCTCCCTCCTCTGTCTGTCTATCTCTCTCCCTCTCCTTCCCCTTTCTCTTCCTTCTCCCTTTCTCACTCTCTTTTCTCTCTCTCTCTCTCCCTCTCCCTTCCCCTACTCTCCTCCCTCTCTCTCTCTCCCTTCTCTCTCACTCTCCCTCTCTATCTTGCTCTCTCTCTCTCTATCCAGCCTCTCCCCTTCCCCCTCTCTCACTCTCTCTCTCTCTCTCTCTCTCTCTCTCTCCAGCCTCTCCTCCCTTTCCCCCTCTCTCACTCTCCCTCCTCTCTCTCTCTTACTCTCCCTCTCCTTCCTCCCCCTATCTCACTCTCACTCACTCTTTTCTCTTCTTTTCTCTCCTTTTCTCTCCTTACCTTTTCACCATATTCTGAATCTTCTCCCCCTCTCCCCTCCTCCCCCTCCCCCTGTCTCCCCTCCCCCTTTTCCATCTCTCTCTTTCTCACTGTCCCTCCTCTGTCTGTCTATCTCTCTCCCTCTCCTTCCCCTTTCTCTTCCTTCTCCCTTTCTCACTCTCTTTTCTCTCTCTCTCTCCCTCTCCCTTCCCCTACTCTCCTCCCTCTCTCTCTCTCCCTTCTCTCTCACTCTCCCTCTCTCTCTTGCTCTCTCTCTCTCTCTCTATCCAGCCTCTCCCCTTCCCCCTCTCTCACTCTCTCTCTCTCTCTCTCTCTCTCCAGCCTCTCCTCCCTTTCCCCCTCTCTCACTCTCCCTCCTCTCTCTCTCTTACTCTCCCTCTCCTTCCTCCCCCTATCTCACTCTCACTCACTCTTTTCTCTTCTTTTCTCTCCTTTTCTCTCTTTATCGAGTATAGGCCAAGGTGCAGAGGGAGAAACAGCTGAAGATTGCAGAAGAGAAGAAGATGAAGGTGGAGAAAGCTAAGGTCATTGAGGTCAAGGTCAACATGTGGATTGAGGAAAGAACAACTAAGGAGCAGGAATCGAGAAAAAGCCAACTGGAGGCTAGAGAAGACAAAGAAACAACTTGAAGCAGAAGAGAAGAGGGGAGTCCAGGAGAAATCAAAGGTGAGTGTTCAAGGGAAAGTCCACCCTGATATTAAGTTGCTTTTAATTAAAGCAGGAAAATGAGAGAAACGGGTCAGTGAAAGTTTGAGCAAAAACCGACTAGAAATAAGAAAGTTATATATTTTCAAAGTTGTCATCATTGAAACACAAATTGGCAACACTGAAATATCTTGCAAGCTCCTCTCCAATTTTATAAACCTTCGTTTTCTTACTGATTGGTTAGGGAAAATATGATTCATACAGGGGTTGTATAATATACAAATATTGACTGCTCATGAGGATGATGGTGGGAAACATCACTCCCAAGGTGGTGTTTACACCGGCCCTTCTATCACCCCCGAGGCGAAGCCGAGGGGGTGATAGAAGGGCCGGTGTGAACACCACCGAGGGAGTGGTAGTTCCCACCATCATCCAATTACAGAGCAGTCCATATTTGTTTTATATACCTCATCCTTTTTATTGATTCATGATTAGGTCTAGCTGTAGGTCTAGATCTAGCTCTAAAAACAGGAAACGAGATCAAGAGGAATTTACTAACCCAAATAAGAAAAATCCAACATCAAGTCCAAGGCAAGAGTATTGAATTCCTACGCGCTGCGCGTAACCGCGCGATTGCGGTAGCCTAGCAACTCAAAAAATTTGTGTGCGCAACTAAGTCGCGGGAGGGGTTAGGGGTCCTATGGTCCTATCCCAGGGTTTGATAGTAGCTATCAACCCCTCTGACGTAATGATACTTGATAGATCGAAATGCTCCTTGACATGTGATATAGTCTTGACCAATCAGTGAATGACAATCTATGTATGAGGTATATAAAAACATCTTTGAAATAATTGTATCCCCCGGCAGTATGCCGGTGGGGTACTTTGGATTCAGCAGCGTTACTTCGCCGCCGCGTCATATTATTTTATTCTTGTGTGCGCTCTAACTGCCACATTCCTTGACGGATTTCTTTCAAATTTTGTATGGAGGTGTATCGTGGTATAATCTACACACCTATAACTTTTGGGGATGCTGCCCCCAGTGTTCCATCTTTTATAGGGTAAAAGACCATATTTTATTCTTGTGTGCGCTCTTACTGCATCAATCAATTGAAAGTATAAGTTCTTAGTCAATGAAACTTGGACTATAGGGTAATCAAGTATCCCCAATCATGTGAGTAGAATTCAGGTCACTAAGGTAAGGTCAAAGGTTATTTTAGGTCAACAAACTTAGACTTTTTTGTGGTATCAACATCAAGATTTTGAATTTTTAGCATATTTTCAAAAGTGTTTGTTCAAATTCCATGAAAGTTGTACCCAAGGGTTATCAAGTATCACAAATCATATTTCACAAATTCCAGGTCACAAGGTCAGTAGCCTTGGATTATGTTTTCACAACTTAATATGAGAATAAATGAATCAATTTTTGTTATTTGTTCGTGATTCTTAATCAATATTCACTTCAAAATGCTGATTATATTCAGAGGATTTTATTTTTGGGGGCCTGCTAATGGGCCACCCTGCCTATAATAATGTTCCAACTTCAATTTTTCATCATAACAAATTGCGTAATGCAGGCGAGACCGCCGAGAGCGTTCCCCTTGTTTCAACTTAATGATGTTAGAAAGAATACTTTGAAAATTCAAATCGTGCTGCCTCTCAGCAAGTATACCGCGCTAGAGGTCAATACGCATCAGCATGTTTTACTACATTACTAAAACCGTCTCAAAGTCTCAAAAAAATACACATCTAACAAATGCACGAAAATAATGGTTAAATAGAGTGAGAAATGCTCAAGATATGTCGAGAGCTTCGATATATTTTGATTTATCATAGTCGAAATTTGCCATCAGGGGAGATCCATGCCAGCAGAAAACTACTAACATGGAACTGTGACAATAGGGCCAGATATACAGCATATACTTACCCCACACAATTTTAACCCCATTTTCCCCCCAACTGATGATCTGGCCCTGCATGTGAACATGGCGTCACATCCAGTACGAGTGCAGTCTCCTCCATATATACCTTACCAACTGATAAAGAGTTTTTAGGACAGTTAGTACAACTTATCCCCTCCTCACCAACATTTCTTGTGACTTATGCATAAACATGATGAGCTGATGAATAATCATTGCCTGAACAATTGATTTCCCACCATGCATCTTAATATATGCACAATCAGTGAAAGTTATAACAATCACTTTTCAATGTGTGAATAGATAAAAGACTTTTCAGCTGTTCCTCTATTTAAATACTCAAAGAATGATACTGGCAAGACTTAGGCATGCATGATTTGGTAATGGCATTTAAATGTCTTGGAGTGTACACAATAGAGCAAGGTGTTTCATTGTTATGGAAATCCTCTTTACATGTACAGTATGTGATTATTTGCTTTCTTTGCTTTCCTGTAAGCTCTTCTGTAAGCTCTTCTCTTTATTCTGGACAATTTAACTATTCAAATGGAACTGAGTTATAAATATGGAAACCACTGCATAAAATGATGGATTTGAAAGAAGAAATATGTGGGGTGATAAGAACACCGGGGCGGTGAATCGTTTTCATGCAAATTTTAGATTTTCCATCATCTTTGTAACACTTGATTCCCTGTGTGGCCCAACCCAAGTCCCTTTGAATTCAGGTAGGGGAGGTGTTGCACTATTTCCAGGTTTACGTTACCCAACCTGTACTTGGTTTGAACTGGTTTCTTTTTCTGGGTTATTTAATTTGAAAACTGTGGCTGCAATTGCTGCTGTATTAAAAACTGTTCTATTGATTCTCAACATTTCAAACACCACTGTTCAAAACTCAACTGATTTCACTAAAAATCGGTACTTTATTTTTTGGGGGCCTGCTAATGGGCCACCCTTCCTATAAATAATGTTCCAACTTCAATTTTTCATCATATCGAATTGCGTAATGCAAGCCCTGTGTTTTTTGTTGGTATTATTATCCCAAATGGTCTAGAATATATTTATGTGTGTAAACCCCCCCCCCCCTTGGATTTATTTTTTTTATTTAATTTTTTAATTTTTTTTAATTATTAAAAAAAATAAAAAAAATAAAATGATTCCCATAGCTGACCTAAAAAGGTGACCTTACCCCCCCCCCCAACGGAGCCAAAGGTCAAATTTTCAAATTTCGAGACAAAAAAAAAAAAAAAAATGTCCTCTTACCCCCCCCCCCCCCCTCCCCCTCCCCCCTCCCCCTCCCCCTCCCCCCTCCCCCCTCCCCCCTCCCCCCTCCCCCCTGTTACACCCACAAATGTAATAAATTTGAAGGGATATTTTTTCCAATTGTTCAAAACTTAAACTCTGAAATAAAGCATGGGTATAGTGCGCAGTCTTTACTCCAGACCGGTTATTTCAAAAATTTAAAAAAATCTTCAAAACTAAGACCCCATAATCCTTTTCCTGTGGAATAACATGAGAATCGAGCGTAGTCTTTTCTCCAGACCTGGTTATTTCAAAGAAATAGAAATTTAAACAAATCTTTGAAACTAAGACCCACCATCTTATTCCTATTTTTTTTTCATTTAAAAATAAATTACATTATTACATATAATGGTCCGTTATTCCTAAGGACCGCTATTCATAAGGACCGTTTTTCATAACTTGAATAAAGGGTCAAATCATAATAGGAGTATGGGTTCTCTATTCATATTACAAAATGAGGGTCGCTATTCATTTTAGGAATAGAGGGTCGCTATTCATTATACGAGAAGAGGTTCGCTATTCATAATACGATATGAGGGTCGCTATTCATAATACGAAATGAGGGTCGCTATTCATAATAGGAGTAGAGGGTCGCTATTCATAATAGAAGCAGAGGTTCACTATTCATAATACAATATGAGGGTCGCTATTCATAATACGAAATGAGGGTCGCTATTCATGATACGATACGGGGGTCGCTATTCATAATACGAAATGAGGGTCGCTATTCACAATACGTTATGAGGGTCGCTATTCATAATAGGAGTAGAGGGTCGCTGTTCATAATATAGAGTTAGGGTCGCTATTCATTATGTGGAATGAGGTTCGCTATTCATAATACGGGATAGGGTCGCTATTCATACACAAAAATGAAAATTAAATAAGCAATAAACAAAATATTAATCAGAAAGCGTAATAATAGATAGGGGACACCCCACTGTGTAGCGTAGGCGGAAGGGGGCCATATGGCCCCGAATATTTGTAGAAAACATTTATTGAAAACATATTGAAAACATTTCTGAACAAAAGAAAAAGGTGTGCCCCCCCCCCCCCCCATCAGTCAGACCATTTGGCCTACCCTCCCTGCAGTATTTCCGTGGTACAAGTGCATATCATTGGCTACCGGTCGAAAAAAGAATAATATACAAAAAACACTGTTTGTTTACAAATATACACATAATGTTGCACCTGGATATTTGTCTTCCTTGTTACAATCTTCTCGTCACTCCTCGTATATAATCTTCGCTCAACTACAGACACAACGGCTCTCCATGTGCCCAGGGGCGTCGCTAGACCTTTTTACCGACAAAATTAAATGTCCAATATCTACAAATTTAACCCTATAAATTTAGCGCTATAAACCCGGGGCCGAAGGCTAAATTGTTTTTTCCTATGGATTATCTATAGAACTTGCATATGCGCAATATGGTCATTTTCCTTGACGACATAAATATACGAATTATTTCTTCAATTTAGGCAGCATCATAGCTATATATTTTAATGCAGGCGCAGTGCTAGGATCTTATTTTAGGGACGGGCGGTAGTGAGCAAGAGAATCACTTAAAAGCGCGCTCATTAGGGGGGTGTGGGTGATGGGCCTCCCGCGCAAAGCGCGGAAGCTTAGAGGTTCCTTAAATTATTAGGAAAAGAAGGCGATTAATTGTACCGTTTTCGACTGGTAATCCTTGTCTGAATTCAGTTCCCCCCCCCCCTCCCGCGGAAGCTTTGATGTTTCATTAAATTTTGAGAAAAAGCAGACGATTCTGTGTACTGTTCTCGACTCTTAATCTTTATCTGAAAGAAGCTTTCCCCTCCCGCGCGGAAGTTTTTACATTCCATTACGTTATAAG